ATTAAACAGTGCAGCCCTAGAAGGACTCTGTAGGCTATACTTAAATTATCCGTTGTGGACATGTGATCCTTTTACCTAACACTACATAGTTCTGAGTAGTTTAGGATACTGTGAACATAAAATTGTTTTCTTTCAAAAATCCTTGTTTCCTCAAATTTGTACTAAGATTCCAAGTTCTTTTCCCCTAGTCAATCTAGCTGCTAAAGCCATTTCTAAAGTCATGACAGATTATAGAAAACATGGAAAGTGAGAGATGAGGAGAAGTGCTTAAAATTTACAGCTCAGGCCGGGTGCGGTGGCTCAAGCCTGTAATCCCAGTACTTTGGGAGGCCGAGGCGGGTGGATCACGAGGTCAAGCGATCGAGACCATCCTGGTCAATATGGTGAAACCCCGTCTCTACTAAAAATACAAAAAATTAGCTGGGCATGGTGGTGCGTGCCTGTAATCCCAGCTACTCAGGAGGCTGAGGCAGGAGAACTGCCTGAACCCAGGAGTCGGAGGTTGCGGTGAGCCGAGATCGCGCCATTGCACTCCAGCCTGGGTAACATGAGTGAAACTCCGTCTCAAAAAAAAAAAAAAAAAAAAAATTTACAGCTCATAATTCTTAAATTAAATTCTGTATTAGATAATGACTTTTTAAAAAGTATCTACCTGGTTATATGTGATTCTCATAGACTTTTTATCACCTTCATGATTTCTGCTACACCTGAATTGCTCTTACATTTATTTTATGTTCTAGTCTCAATTCTCCAAGGCTTTGGAACAATTAATCTCCTTCTTACCTTGGCTACACATTTCTAATAGTAGTGATTGATCCTTTCACCAGAGAGGATGCCCTAGTAATTTCTACTTTCTCTTTAGACCTGCTTTCTGGGGATGAGCGGTATGTGGTGACACTGATCACACCAAGGCTTTATAAGCACTTTAATATGTCAACATTTCCACTTGTGTCTTCTGCATCTATGGTTAATGGTAGTGGTAGTGATGATTGTTTTTGTTTGTGTATGCGTGTGTGCCAGTCCAAGGCGTACATTGCACATGAGCCTCTTTAAAGCCTCCTTAATCATTTAATTATTTGGGAATCACTTTGCACACATTTTTGGCTTCTAGGTGGTTGTTGGATGGACACTCAGCAGTACAAGCTACTTCCCCTACCTGGAACATTCCTCTATTCACTATTCACATCATTAACTTCTTCTGGTTCCTCAAAACTCAGAAGTCTTCCCTAACTGCCCAACAGTGTATTAGAGCCTCTCTTTATTTTCTGCCTCAGCTATCTGGTTTTTGTCTTAATCCACTTGGCAACACTGAAATATACACGTTTATTGACTGTTCATAAGGGCAGTCTGTTGTGTCTGCTCTGTTCACCTCAACAGATCCTAAACAATTATCACAGTGTCCAGTACATAGCAGGTGCCCAAGAATATTTGCTGAATAAATGCATGACAAAGTACTTTGTATTTTTTCAAGAACTGTGTTTTTCCACTGATAACAAATTAATGACAAACATTTCAAAATCATATTAAAATCGGTCCAGACTTTAAAATACTAATGATGCCCCTCTCATTACAGATGTTTATTTTTGAAAATTCTTCTTCAATGTCTATTCTTGAGTTATGAGTCAAATCATCTTTGGAGGTCTGGGTAGAATGTTAATGCTGTTTACAAACCAAAGTTTAGTATCAAACGAAAAGATCTAAATATTAAAATACCTTAAATTGCCAGAGAACCAATGGCAATAAACATGAACTAAAAGATTTTCCAAATAACATTTCACATACTGTGACTGTAATAAATGTAAGGTTGTGGAAAACTATACACTTACCACATAAGAATATAAGATGTTCTATTATTATGGCTTAAGTGGCAAATAATTCAAGTTCTATTTAATGCCATGATACAAGTGGAGAAATAAAGATATTTATAGCCAGCTAGCCAGCACTCAGCTTCAGGGTCCATATTTCCAATGGATTCACCCATACTCCATAGACATTACAGAGTTTACTTACTTAACAGTAATTATTTTAATAGATTTAATTGTGATTTTTTAAAAATATTAGCTTATTTAAGTCTCATAGTCTTTTGAAATAGAGACTATTAGCATCCCATTCCGTAGCTGAGGGAACTAAGGCCTGGTCACCTTAAATAATGTTAAAGATAAAGTAGGGCCGGTTATGGTGCCTCATCTCTGTAATCCCAGCACTTTGGGAGGCTGAGGTAGGCAGATCACTTGAGGCCAGGTGTTCAAGACCAGCCTGACCAACATAGCGAAACCTTGCCTCTACTAAAAATATAAAAATTAGCTGGGCATGGTGGTGTACACCTGTAATCCCAACTGCTTAGGAGACTGAAAGACAAGAATCACTTGAACCCAGGAGGCAGAGGTTGCAGTGAGCTGAGATCATGCCTCTGCACTCCAGCCAGGACAACAGAGTGAGACTCTTTCTCGATAAATGAATGAACAAATAAATAAATAACTTTGGAGATAAAATAAAAAGTAAATCTAGGGTTTGAACCCAAAATAAGAAGTAAAGCTGGGATGTGACCTTTGGGTTAATATGCTTAAATCCTCTATACTGTAGGGGTAGATTGGACTTTGAATTTAAAAGCATTTATTCCATCAATAATTACTTCCTTTTCTGTTCCTACAAACCGCCTTTAAAAACCTCCCCATGATTTACAAGGAACTTTTAAAAAATCAGCCATCAGCTATTTTTTTTTTGTCTAATACAATATGTAGTTAACATTTTTCTTGTTTTTTTTCTGAAGATGACCATATGTCCCAAGTCCAGGGAATTGGGTATTGGAAGCTACAGATTTGAGGAAGAAAGTAAAATTCACAAGATAGTCATATTTAAGAAGACTGAAAACCTTACTTCATTTTCAGAACTAGTCTTTCTTCCCAAAAGTTGTTTGGAATTGGGATTTATTCTGGTTTAGAACAGTGGTGATTATAATTACTTAAGTATTCCATTCACTGACAGCTTTCTGCTGCTACTTAGAGGTAATGATTCTAATGTCTTTGTGGGGCTTATCCAAAGGGAACAAGTTTCTGTTCTATTAACTCACTAAAAGCTGCTTAAAGATAAAGCCAGAGACTAAAGTCAGTTATAGCTCTAATCCCCATTGGATCTAAATCCCCCTTTTCCATTTCATAGCCATGTGCATCATCCATAAACTGATCTAATTATTTCCAAATGCATGTCCTTACTCTCACATAGAATAGGTGAGTAAAGAGATAAATTACTTGTATTATAAAGAAACAGAAATTCTGAATCTAACTATATCAGTGGATTAAATCAAGGTAATATCAAAGCACAGATTATATGCTACAGTAAAATTATTATCAAATGAAGAAAGGAGACTTAATAGTTACCTCTAGGCTCAGAAGCAATTAAAAATATAATGCTGTTACAATTGATAAATAATCAGTGGAATGCATTTTCGTTGGTTTCACAGTCTGCAACCATGGCAGGTCCACATGCATGTGGCATAGTGTTCGGAAGTTGACCTGCATTTCTCTTCAGATCATTTAACCACACTCAGCTGAGCTGCATTCCTTTTTAAACAACCTAATCAAATTTATTTCAAATACCAAAACCTTCAGTTAGAGATTTAATCTGTGTTTATGCACACGTGTGAAATCTATAGTGTTTAAATGTGCCCTTGCCTAAGAATACTCCATATTTACAGAATATGAATTTTATAAGACTTCCCAGTTTTTCTGTTTTAAATGAACTTTCTCATTTTTTTCCCGCTGAAAATGGAAATCCCCAGTCAGGGCCAGACTGCCCCATATGATGTCTGGTTTTATGCATGTGGGCCTATAATCAGGGAATCATTCTGGCAAGGAAACTATGGGTGCCCCTCCCTAGGGATCTCTCTCATCCCCTTCTCCCCGTCCTCTTACATGGTCTTTGATCTGTGAGATATACCAGTTGTTGAAAGCACCTATTCTAGGCCTGCATCTTAGAAAATATTTCTCTTTTCTATTGCCCAAGTTGAAAAGTAGTAAACCCAGTAGGCAAATTACTATTTGGAAGCCTTTGTTTATTAATTCTATGCTGTAGCATCCACTAGAGGACCTGCCTGCATATTGAATAACTAAGATATTGCTCTACACATATGTCATGTTATGAAAATGAATGTGGTGCCCATTCAGCAAGGGTATGGCATATTCATTTATCATCAAGATGAATATTCTGATGTTGGAGTGCTATTTATTTCACCAGTAGAGAAAACAAACCTAAAAAAAAATTCAATAAGTCTGTACAGTTTTAAGGGTTTTAAACACTCCTCAGTTATTAAAATAACCACTTTTCGGTTGAATAACAGATCCGTGATATTAATTTACATCAGTGACTAAAGTAGTTATTAACGAAGATGAAAAAAGAAATAGTAGAATACAAAGGGGGAAAGGATGGTGTCAAAGAAAAGAACCAGAGAACATTAATTTTATTCATGCTCTTGTAATAGAACACCCTAAATCTGAATATCAGAATGTTTCTGCAGGTTAATTTTCCCTTAGATTTTTATAGGGAAGAATAGACAAGTTACAGGTGGGAGATGGTTTATTTTTTGGGTCGTTTTGTAAAGTCTAGGTCAGTTAGCTGAAGAGGAAACGTTTATCTCTGTGTCTAGCAAGTTTCAGAGGGACAAACAGTTTTAATCTCAGCTAATCATTCATAAGATAGAGAATGGGAAGTCGAAGCGCCTGTGTCTGGTCTTATCAGCACATCCAGGCAAAAAGGGGAAAGTCTGTGTTTGGCCTGTCCTAGGTAAACAAGAGAGTCATCTCTGAATCTTATGAGGGTTGTGAGAAAGAGTGAGCTGAAAGTTTTATTTAGGTCTCATGGGCAAGGGTGGCTCTTTGGGGTGAGCTATTTCCTGGAACACAAAAAGGCTGAGGGATTTCTCAATCATCACTGTTTTCTGGAAGCACCAGGCTCAGGTAGATTTTACCACAGTCACTAGAAACCTGATTCAGACTGGAGGCAACAGTGGACAGATAGGGAGATGTGATGTGACCCAAGAGGAGTCATTCAAATACACCTGAAAACTACAAGCCACCTTGGGAGGGCAAAGGCTTTCCAGGAAAAATACCCAGGAAAAAGCGACCTGTTGAAGACAATGTGGGTAGAATCCCTGAGAAAAGCAACCAGTCCACTCGGGCTCAAGTAGCTGTAGAAATACCACTTTTAAATCAAAATTGAAGGCTTTCAGATGAAGCTGAGTGAGGACAGGCAGAGTCTCTCAGGGCCTAGGTGAAGAGTGAGCCCAAGTCAGCCTCAGTGCTAACCTGCCAAATTCCAGCTGTTGGGTTAAAGTAAGAGTAGTTAAATCCAGTCATGAAGCCTATACATTGCCTGCCTGAATGGACTTTGGAATTCATAGTTTCTGTCTATATTCCAGCAGCTATACAGATTGATTGTGCCTGCTGATGGTAACTCATTACGGAAGATAAACACAGGGGCAAATCACACGATTCTCAGAAAACGCTTTAGTCCCTTATGGATAGTCTTTCTATATTTTTGCCCCAAAATGCCTCATAACACATGGCAAGACACTCATTTATCTGATTGTGTTTTTGCACGTCTAATAGTTTCTATTTGAAATACTAACAACAAAGCTGCTGATGAATGATGTGTAGGAAAGGGTAAAACAGAGTAATAGGATTAATAGGAATCTCAGGATAATCTCAAGGAATCAGATTAACAATACCTCAGATTTCTTCTACAACAAATCTTTTATTAATGCTGCTATATTATAAGGAGCTAAACTTCCAGATTTGTATTTCATCTCCCTCTGCCATTACAACTATCAGAGTTGCTAAGAAGATGCAAAATACTAACACTTGACCCAAGAAGAGAGAAAAAAAGAAATACTGAAGGAAAAAAATGACTTTTCAAAAGTGAAAAGCAATCACAAAAGACAGATCAGGTGAGGAATGTCAAATTGTTAGTCACACCCAGCTTGAGCACACAAATACACACATGGCAACAAAGATGAACCCTGGACTAAAGAAGAAGAGAAGGGAGGTACATTCAGGGAAGAGGAGGTGGGGAGAAAATGTGAGCATGTCCTAAAACCTGCTAGAAAATTAGGTAACTCCAGGTTTTTCTATAATGATTTCTTTCTTTGTAAAACTCAAAAATGTTCAAAAACTGGGTTCCTAATCATTCTTCATCAAAGTCCACAGTTTAGTTCTTTACTCCTTTTTCTCTGCAGTTATTTCAGAAGTTAAAACTGCTGTAAAATTCATACCTCTCTTCAGCATCCATTTTTATACTTAAGCTCTCTGGCTTTTATATAAAATACCCAGAAAATTTTCTCATGTATTATAATATCTACAGTGAAGTGTAAATGTTCGTACTTCCTCATATTATTTACCAAATATTCTAAGGATTATCTACCAAATATGCTAATTATTACCAAATATTCTAGGATTATTCTAATATTGTAAGAATTGTTCTCCTTTGTCCTCTTGTGATTTGGTGGAGTCACACAATTAGTTCTGGCTGATGAGTTGTGAGCAGAAGTGATTTGTGTAACTTTGGAGCCAAAGCATTTAATTCCTAAGAAAAATACTCTAGAGACGTATTTTCCTGACTAAAATTGCCAGCAATATTGTTGTTAGTGGGTCCCCCACTGGGCTGCAATCTTTTTCTTGGGGCAGGGGGTGAGTGGATGAGATCTCACGCTGTCTCATAAGCTGGAGTACAGTAATGCAATCATAGTTCACTGTAACCCCAAACTCCTGGCCTCAAAGTATCCTCCTGCCATGGTCTCCCAAAGTGTTGAGACTGCAGGCCACCTATACCTGGCTTGGGCTGGAGTCTTAAAGTGAGAAAGACATGAAGCAAAGATGCAGCCCATGTGCAACTGTCCTATAGTGAGAGCAAGGAATATATTTTTATTAATCTATGGATGTTTGGGGTTGTTGTTGCAGGATCCTTTGTTACCACAGCACAACGTAACCTATCCTGACTGATAACACCAAATTTGCATAAATATTTATTCTGATTCTTGATATAAATAACTTATAATTATATTATACAGTGAGAGCCAAGCAAATAAAACAAACTCGGCTCCAGAATAAAAGGACAGCCTGACTTGGCCAATTATAGTTCCCAGCTAGAATCTGAATGACCCAGACTCATCAATGAGAATTTAAAAATCTGAGCTGTTACCACAGATTTGGATGGTTAAGTCAAATCTAAACTAAAAATAGAAAAAATAAGGAACTTTTTCTCTATTTGATCTCAATAGTGTTATGGCAGTTTTATCCAATTTTTGTAGCACAATAAAGATATATTTATAGAAATTGGGTAAAAGGATAGGGGAGGCAGATGTTTAATTGTAACAATTAAATGAACAAATTACTGGCAGCTCTTTGGCAGATGATATACAGTGAAATGCATTTTTGTACTAATTACTTTCAGTAGCTAACTCTTGAGTATAAAAATGTGTTCAGTGTTAAGTAAGGATCCAAATATGAGTAATATGTACTCCTTGTCATCATGATGGGAACTGACAATTGAATAGAAGGGGATAAGAAACAGACAAAGAAGCAGAAGTATCCTAAGTGCTTTAAGAAAAGTATACCCTACGCTGTGGCAGGCATGGGTGCGGTATCCTAAAAATGGGTAAATGGCCCAGTGGTTGTGCTGCTAAGCCACGACTTGGGAATCACTGGCCCATAGAGGCAGCTGCTTGATTAGAAAACCGAATGCAGGAACTGGTTGTCAGTAAGAAGCAACAGGAGGACCACTTCCACACTTTGATATGTCAATTTGTAGTGGATTTGGCAAGGGTATGCACAGGAGAATCAAACCAATAAACAGTCCAAAGGAAAGCAAACACACAGCCTATGTGGGAAAGTGTATATAAGCAAGATTTAAATCACACAGTAAAAACAATCACATGGAAACAATGCTAAATATGTAATCAAAAACATGTTAGAAACAGGAGAAACATAACAAAAGAACTAGAAAAAATAGAGGAAAATATCTGAAACAACAACTCAAAAGATTGCTCTTTTACACTGTGGCATGCTATTCCCTTGGCAATGCAAAAATGGGAAACTTTATTTCCCAGGACAACCCACTTTCTGTGCCTACAGCACTATCAGGCCCCTTCTAGTCGAATTATTTATACGAATTAACACCTGGCTTGTTGTCAGAGCTAATGAATATTTAGGACAGTTGCAAGGAGACGGCTATGTACGATTCTTCAATAAATGATTAAAATCTGATTTTCAAAAAACAGGGTATCAAAATATTTAAGAGAATGGAAATGAAGTATGTTCTCTGTAGATCATGTCAAGAGTGACACCAATCCCATCTATATCTACTGGATGAAAGCAAGATGTGCTTTTCTCAAAGTTTACACTAGGAAAAAAACAGGCAGTTTTATTTTAACCAGATGTGAACAAATTAAACCCAATATTTTCAAGTATTTTTAGTGCCACATGATGTCATTCAATTTTATATTTTCTACTGGGGGATAATGTGTATTTTTAAAATTGTGAAGCCACTTTCCATGTATGTATTTAAGTCTTACACACGATAAATTACAATAAACAAATTACAACACCACAGGACATGCTCTTGGCTGTTTATGTCAAAAGCCGAGAAAGAAATTTAGGTTTGCAGTAGGAAATGGAATTAGACACATGTGAAATGTCCTCTGCTGGCATTCAAGGTATTCCTCATTTCAATGAGGGTCCTGGTCCGAACAGGTCCAGGGCAAGCATGACTCCGGCTGTGTCCTCCTAGTACAGAGCAGCCTGTGGACTCCACAAAGACTCTGGGCAGTCCTAGGCTAGTTACCCAGGAAACCCCAGCTTTAAACAACCAGATCATTCCTTTTTTTTTTTTTATTGTAACAAGATCACACAACCCCCTTGCCAGTACCCAGATAGTGCCAGGTGTCCTAGGATCTTGGCGCCGTTCTTGTCCTCTAGAACTGACAAGGGAACGAGGGTGCCTCTAAACTGACCAAGACTAACTTCCTCGACCTTTTCTCTGGGGCAGCGTCAGGTAAGCAGCCATACCCTGGAACAAGAGTGTGGTCCTCAGTGGCTTTGCTGAGTGAACTTCTCCGAGTCATCTCGCCTGGGAAAGAGATTTCTCAAAGACCATTTAAAGCTTTCCAGAGGGCAACAGCGAGACAGTTGTGAGCCAAGGTTACCATAAATGCTTCCACTCCGCCTGATTTCATTTCGGAAATAAGGAAAGAAGCAGTCACCACTGCAGGCGTTGCTGACGCCTCATCCAGCAGCCTCCCACCCCCAATCCCTCCACAATTAAGAGACAATAAAAGTTAACGTTACTGTAGTGCCATTAGTACATTGACACGTCGTTGGATTAAAAAGTCTTTATTTCAGCCCAACATCTCCATCCACCCACACTTGAGCACAGAACATTCCAGGCAGGCAAAGCCACCCTTGCCATTCTCTCCTTGGCCACGTCCTCAAGGGTGGGCGAGCTTCGGGGGGAGGGCTGGGCGTTGGAGACTCCGTGCCAACGCAACACGCTCTGCCAAAAGGCTTCTCAGACACGAGTTTCCCAGGGCCATGCCCACCTTCCGCTCCCCGCCTCCCCGAGTCTCTTCCCCCGGTTTAAGCTGGAACCCTGCAATAGTCTGGGGACCAATGAGGTGGCAGCGGTTGACGCTTGGACACGGTGAGGGGGCGATTTCCAGGGGGAGAGACCGCGAAGCAAGGGAGGGCGACAGGAGGAGAAAAGTGGGAAGCGGGGACAAAAAGTAGGCGGGGAGGAGAGGAGAGCCCCAGTTGGGGAAAAGCAACGGCAGTCGAGGTGAAAGAGCCAAAGGTGAAGAAAGAGCAGGTTCGTGGACAGGAGCTGGCGGGCGGGCCGGGGAATCCCTGGTGAGGAAGCGGCGAGGGAGGGGCGTGGGCCAGGCCGGGCCGGGGCGCCGCGGGGAGGGTCGCTGTCAGTCAGGCCGAGCTGGGCTCGCTGGCCGGGGGGCGGCCGCAGGGGCGCAGCGCAGCGCAGCTTGAGGGCGCGGCGGCCCCGCCAGCCTCGGCAGCGGCAGTGCTGGCCGCGCCCCCGTCCCCGGCCGGGCGCCCGCGCTGCGTTTCGCGTTACCCCGCGCCGGCTCCGGGCCGCGGCCGCCCAGGCTGTCCCCGCCCGCGCGCGCCCGTTGGGGGGCCCGGGGAGCTGCGCCCGCGGCCGGGCCGCATTGTGACGTAGCGGGGCCGCGGCAGCGCCTCCGCGCCCGCCAGTTCTCTGCGAGGCTGTTCTGCTCCCGCCGCCGCGGTCCGTCTGTCGGTCCGTCAGTCCCTTCGCGCTCCGGAGCCGCCGGCGCGCCGGGCGTCCCGGGTGAGTCCAGGTCCCGAGCGGACGCCGCGGGGAGGCGGGGGACGGGGGGCGGGCGGCTCAGCCTTTCCAAGTTTGCACCAGGCGACCCCGGCGGGTGTCGCCCCAGCTCCCCAAGCCCTGGGCCCCCTTTGTGCCGCGAGTCTCTGCTGCTCCGGGCAGCAGAGGCGCCTCTGCAGAAACGGTTTGGGGGGAGGTCTCTATAGTAACAGTGGTGGCGGCAGCGGCTGCTTTCCTAGGGGGAGGGGGAAACAACCCCCGCCTTGGTTTCCAAAGGATTGTTCTTTTCATTTGCCCGCTTCGTGTAGTTCTTATTCTTGCTGCCACCCGGGATCGCATCGCAGGGAGGGATGGGCAGTGCCGCGGCTCGGAAGAGCTGAGGTAAGGAGGGGCGAAGTGATAGCAATAGCGACGGTACTAACAACGGTAATAATAGCTGCAGGAGAGGGACGTGTGGTGTTGCCGCCGCCCAAGGGGAGCCCCGCGCCCATCAGCACCGGCACCCCTGCTGCCTTGTGCAGCCCGGGCTCCACCAGCCTCCCTCCCGTGCTGTCCTGCGTCCCAGGCTGGTCCGCTTCAATTTCAGCAGGGAATGTTACTCTCTTGGCCTTCTTTCTTGGCGATGACTTTCATCTGCAGGTGGTAAGTGGGGTGAACCCAATTTTGGCTGTTGTCAAAGGCCACGTTTTGTTTATTTCATTTTTACGAAAAGAAAAGAGGGAAAATTATGAGCCATTACTGGCAGCCATACAGTTTCCACAGGAAATACTAGCATTCTTTGAGGAACACGCTACTGCTTGCAGCGAAGAAAGTCTTAGGAAACAAAAAGGCAACAGCATTGTTGCTCATTTTCAATGGACCGCTAGGAAGCGGGAACCGTGTTGTTTTTTTCCTGTGGGAACGTTGCTTTCCTTGGGAAAGTTAATTAAGGAAGCATTACTGTCGGTGCTGCTTTTCACTTGCTGGAGGCAGGGTCCCATTCCTCTTGGCTGTTACTGACAAGTGCCCATCAAAGAGCCCGGTGGACGGGAGAACTGCTGCAGGACGGTCTCGCCACACACCACGTGCGGTGGAGCCTGGCCAGGGTGCAGTTTGCAAAATGAAATAAGGGCTGTCTGGGGAGGTTTATGAGGATTACATGTGTGCAGAGTATGTCAGTTCTCCAAGGTGTCACTCTAAACACGTAATTTTCAAGCACTACTTTCGTTGCTGAATCTGCAGGAAGGGAAAACCCTATTTTTCTTTTATGGAGCAGATATCCCAGTTGGGAATGGGTTGAAATCTGTATTTCGTTTGTACATATTGAAAATTTAAAAGGCAAAGAACAAGGTGTAGGAAAGCAGTATGCTAATGTGCACACATCTGGGAGAGAAAGTATATTGGCTGATTCTGATGCATCTCAATGTTAAATTACATTCAGCATGGTTAGAGTACAAGGAGGCACCTTTAAGGAGTTCTTAAGACTATTTGAAAGGTGCAGTGTTTTGGTACTGATCGCGGAAGTCTCTCTGGAAAGGGAGTATTAACTGAGGATTACCCGTAACTAAATATGTATGCATTAACAGGTCTGGAATCAGAAAGTAAAAGATGGTGCTTCTCTTAAGGATCGTGTTTGGTCATGTCAGTTAAAATATAGCATGGGATTTTGAAAAGAAGTGGCATAATTTTGAATATAAATTTCATTTTCTCCGTACCAAGCATTTCATCAAGAAAGGTTACAGATTGTAAATTTGAAATGATGCTGCATTCATTAATTTGACGGTTACCATTTGTTGACATTCAAAAGGAAGTGACTAAAGCAAATGCATTTCTCTGTCTACTCTGTCACAACTTTGCTAATACCAGACAGTTGTTCTGGTGCAGGTGTACAGTAGAAGTGCAAGCCAAGAAACTTTGTGTGTGCTATTGTTTTGGAAGAAATTGTAGCTGTTCTTTACTGCTCTTAGGGGAAACCCACACAAACATCTAATACAAACAAATGATCTTTGATATTATCACAAAAAGCCTGGAGCTGTTTTTCTTGCCAGATTTAAGTCATTTCTTGTCAAAAGAGGAAATCTCCCAAGGAGCAGGTGCATCATTATAAGAAACACAAGGGAATTTCTCTTTTAAATGCAAAATCTAATTGAATAGCAACGAGAGAATCAGTAACACTCTTAGAATAGAAGCTTTGTCTTTGGCAGTTTGTCAGGTTACAGTTGCAAACCACATAGGAGAAATATGTGTCTTGGGAGAAAAATGATATTCTGGTGAAAATAAAATAGTTGCTTCTGTGAAACATTTACCCTTACATACTTATTTCCTTGTGCCCCTTTGATTTCTATGCAGATTCACTTGCAGGAAGTCATTTATGCAAAATGAATCAGTAAGTTGGTTTCTAATATATATACTATGCATGATTTTGCACTTTATATGTTAGGTAACTAGATTTTGTATTTTATGGTTTGAATCTTATCAGCTCTTTTTTACATTTTAAAAATTAATGATCAAAATATGATTAATGATTAAAATATTTTTAATTGGTATGACTGATAGCTGGGCCCTGGGAAAGTACTAATTGATTCCTAAATAGTTATTGTGCATTTACTTTGTGCCTATGTGTCATATAGCAACATAAAATATATAGTGTTTTCACAAGGAACATGTTCATGGGAAATAGGACCCATGAAAAATTACATGATATAAAACAGGGAAGAACACATTTCATAATTGAGTGCCCAAGACACTAAATAGTAATTGAAAAGGAATTCTGAGGAAAGAGTGACAAAATCAGCTTAGATGTTATATCAGTTATTCATGATTGGATAACAAATCCCCACAAAATGCAGTTACTTAAAATTGCTACTTAGCTCATGATTCTGGTGGTCAGCAATTTTAGCTGGGCTCAGTGAGGTGGTTTTCTGCTATTCTTAGTTGGGTGCGCTCAGACATTTTCATTCTGCTGGTGGTATAATTTTGAATGGCTTTACTCATATGTCTGGCAGTTATCAGACTGTTGGCTAGGGTAACATAATCGGTGGCTGGGATATGTACCGCCCATTCTCCAGCGTACTCACCTGAGCTTCTTTATGTAGCAAATCAAACAGTGTTATAAGAGCTGCAAAAGAACAACCTGCAATGCAAAAGCAAGCTTAAAGCCTCAGCTTGAATCACATTAGCTATTCTCCCATTCGCCACTCTCCCATTCACCATATCAAATCAGGAGGTTACTCCAGATTCAAGGGGTATAGAAAGAGTCCAGTTATGATGAGAGGGATGTGCAAAAAATTTGAGTCCGTTTTTTATGATATACTACATGTTTGAGGATACTTGTGTCTAGCAGATGTTTTCTGCTGGAAATAATATGTTAGGAGAGAGTATTGGAGCCTGCTTAGCAATAGCCCAGGATTTAGGTTAAGGAGTTGTCCAGTAAATTTTTGTTCTGTAAACCACAGGTAAGGAACTGTGACACAATGATAATAAAATTTTGCCCCTATCCTTCCGGCAGTGGTGTTATGGTTTGGAGACAGAAGGCTGGTGGCAGAGTAAGCTGAGCATTGTTGAAAGTTGATGGCTTTGACAAAAATGGAGGTAGGAAAAATGGAAAGGGATCAATCTGGGAGATCCCATATTTAGGATGAGGTGACTGATTATAGGGGGTGAGTAAAAGCAAAAAGTCAAAGTCATTCTGAGCTTTTAAAAAGCTTAAGTGACAGAATGATTGTGCTTTTGTGAGAAATAGAAAATCAATAAGTGATTTATTTGGGGGCAGGAGAAAAATTCAATTCCAGACAGGTTGATTAAAAGAGATAAATTGAAGGTGAAAGTACTTTATAAGCTGCAGAGTAGGCTATGAATGTTAGCTATTGTTTAGTGTTTAAACCACGGTGCACCATTGTATATAGTTAAGTTTCTTTAGGTGTATAGCAACAGGAAACAAAATACAACATCAGGGATTCCCTGAGATGTCAAAGGGAAGTCAGAACCACTACTGTCAGGATGGAAACAGAACTTACCTAGAGAGTAGAATTGATGTTCTTTCTCCAAGACACAGCTGGAGGTCGGCTCTTAGAATGCTCTGCCCTTAACGTGAGCGTACTAGGCAAGAGAATACCTTTGACTTAGTTTGAGTGATATGCACACTCCTGAGCCAGTAGCACTAACTGGCAGCCACACCAGGGCAGAACACAATGCAGAGTGGGCAGGTTCGCCCTCGAAGGACACTGGAGCACTGCTATCAAAAGTGGAGATGGACACAGGGTCCATCAAATGCTCACCACAGATAAACACTTAAAGATTTATTTAGGCCTAGCCATAGGGAATCAAGAGGTAACAAGGCAGGAGGTGACAATTTTGGCATATTTTCATAGCGTATAGGTGCATGAATAACAGTTGAACCCATGCTATTGGTGGAGTTTTCTTGTGGAAAGTAAAGAAAGAAAAGAGGGTCTGGCACAATGCCTCATCCAGACTCCTTCATAAACGTTAATGGATGTTTTATTAGAAGGGAGAAGAATTCTAAACATGTTCTATTCTGTCTTTCACCTAAAAGCTCATGCAAGGTGCTGTTTCATCAGCCTCATTTTATGGCCAGACTGAAATTCAGGTGGTGCCCTTACCACCAATTGCAGCTGTTGGGCCAGACAGAAACACCTGGCCTCTCCAACTTCACACAATTAGTCTGAACAGCATACACAGCTGCTCTTTATGGAATGAACTTGGATGAACCATCTCAAACCGAAGAATACGCTTTTATCATTTTTATTGCACACATCTAAAAACCCTGAAGATACTCAATAAATGTTAATTGAATGAGTGGATGTGCCATTATCTGGTGCAGTAACATTTTTTTAAAATGGTCTTGTCTGGCTTTTCATTATTAAGTGTAGAGTTTGCCATAAAGTCCCTAAGTGCCTTTTGTAGACTTAATGTTTTAAGGTACTCTTGTCACAGTAATATAGGTTTTTTAAATCCACTACTCATAAAAATATTTTCTTTCCTTTATTGAAACACAGCTGTCTTTAATCCTTGTGTTTTTCAGGATATTTGATTGCAAATCACAGAAATTTGCTTATGCTTGTTCAAGTAGAAAAGGACATATACTGGCTCCTGTAAAGGAAAAGTTCAGAAAGGATCCAATTCTGATTTCCTCTTTCCCTCATGGTGGCAAAATTTTCATCTGCAGCTTTAGGCTTAACCCCTGAGAAAAAGAGAATTCAGGATTAAGTTTAATTAGACCACTTTGATCACATGCATATTCTTGAACCAGACTCTATGGCCAAAGATTTGGACCATGCCACTTGACTTGGCTTTGATTATGAGCCCAGTCCTGGGGGCTTTTGGAAGATAAGAGTGGCATGTGTGAAGGCAGGTAGGGAGGAGTGTATGGGAGTGAAAGAGGTACATGGGAGACTGGTCAGCAAAACTCTTCTAAACCATATAACCTGAGAGCAGGGAAGGGGTGGTTTTGTTGTTGTTGTTGTTTGTTTGTTTGTTTGTTTTTGAGATGAAGTCTTAATCTGTCGCCCATGCTGGAGTGCAGTGGCACAATCTTGGCTCACTGCAACCACTGCCTCCCAGGTTCAGGCAATTCTCCTGCCTCAGCCTCCTGAGTAGCTGGGAAAAAAAATATTGAGAAGAGATAAGAGATACCGTGTATGCAG